TAAAAACCCATGCTATCCTTTCTCATATTTCCCTCTCAAAGCACAGATAGTAAACAAATTTCATGGTCATAACTCCTAGCAAGATGGAAACTGCCATGAGCAAGGGTTTTGAGCTCCAATGCCAAACACGCTGCACCATGGCAGAGCATTCCTGACAAAATTCTTCACTTTTGAAAATTTAAGGCACCAAATCGAGCAAAAGTGAGGGGTTTCGATGCAGCTTGGTGTCTTCAGAGCTGGTATATGCAGCCTGTAGCGCTCACTTCATGTGGGCAGAATAAGCAAACTGATTTACTCAGCTGCCCCTGCAAAAGAGCACACGCAGCCATATGAAAGTTTCAGTTTAAGCCTACAAGTTAATTGAACAGCAGATTCAATCAGGAAATCCAAAACAGGAAGATAGACACTAATATACAGTACTGTAAGGCACTCCTACTGGGAAGGGAAAATTGGAAGGCAAATTACGAAGGAGAGAATGATCAGAGTCAACTGGTTCAAAAGCAACACAATGAGCTATGAAGCTCAAAGTCTAGCTGTAGGCTCAGCACTGTGAGCAAAGACAGGGACAGAGGAGATTGTGATAATTATTCGATTACATTTCTTTTAACACAGATCAACAGTCAGCTGTAATCCAGGCTGTGACCTTGGAATCCAGGGAAACTCTCAGTGGCTTCTGTTGCTTCTGGGAAAAAGTAAAATACAACAGTGCAGCTTCCCCACTTCACTGTAAACAGACATTCTCTGCTTTTCTTGTTTTTTGTTTGTTTGTTTGTTTGGGTTTTTTGGTGGTTTGTTTGTTTTTTGTTTTTTTGTTTAAGTCTTTTAGGACATTATCATCAATCTGTTGTAATACACACAGTATCCTGGTATTAAGAGAAGCCTTGACAAGAGGAGCTCTAGAGGTACCCTGATGATTCATTCCTAACAGGACCATCAGAGCCTGCAGAGTATTGTGAGAAACTCAAGTTCTGCATCAAAAAGTACCTTCTCTAGGAAACCCTCACAACTGCCAATTCCTATCATCCTAGCAATGAGCTTATATTGGTATGTGCCAGCCAGGATATTATGTCACATCAACAAAGCCATGACTTTTCATCATCTAAGATAGACAAAGAAAAGCAATAGAAAGATTTCTACGTAAGAGATCCAAATTTCTTTTTATAGGTTGATAATGTGAAAAAAAAAAAAAAAAAAAGGTGCAGTTTGCATCCCCTAGTTAAGTCCTTCTTCACATTAGAGGAAAGCTAGAGGGTCAGGGTAAAGAGGAAAAGAGACTTGAATATAAGGATCTCTACAGTGTCCTAGATTAAAATAATCTCAGACTAACTAAACTGAGAAGAGACATTTCTAAGTAGTTGCAGAGGGTCAGGCTATAGTCCTATATATATACATATATATGTATACATATATGTACATATATATACACATATATATACACATATACAGGCTATAGTCCTGTATATATACATTGAAGCACCCTATTTCTACACTGATTAAAAGTTCTGTACAAGCAAAAGCAGTAACTGGATGTACAGATCAATTCCTCTTCCATGAGCTACGAAAGCACCTTCTCTGCAAAGGAGACAAACAGCACATTTTATTATTGATTCATAATGAAACGCTATTGTTCCAATCTATTTTGTGTGTGAGTAGGATGACTAGAAATACCAATATGTAATTTCACCTCTGTGTGTGTGGGGAGAGAGTTGTGCAATCTGCAAAGACCCCAGGTACTTTTCCAGCTGATGCCCACCCAGAAGTCTGCAGAGCAGAGCCACGTGCAGGTTATGGGCTGCAGAATGGGAACAGTTGCACTGGGGACCAGCATGCAGCCCTGTTCGTACAGCAGAGACAATCACACAAGGGTACAGCATTGTCTGAAACCCAAACCACCTACGGAACCCCAATATGAGTCTCCTGCTAGCAGATGGCTCTTGCAGGAAAACTATCCTATTAGAGTTGGGTCTTTGGAGAATTAGCAATGTGAGCAGTAGTTTCCATTTATTCTTTTGCTTTGCAATCCTGAAAAACGAACAGGGTTTGTTCCAACTGCACCTGCACCTTCTCAGGGCAGAATCAAGCCTTTCACTATGCTTATGAAAGGCAGCGACAGAAGACTTTCTCTTACCTGTTCATATGAAGTAACTTTTTTTGGATAGGAGCTAGGCATCCCTGAGAGGAAAGCATCTTCCATATTACAGTCTGCTCCTATAGCTACTGTGAGAAGGTACGTTACTTTTCCAAGGTAGAAATGAATGTGTATCCATTTTAGGAACTGGCTTGTTTACAACAACATTGGATTTTAAAGAAATTAATCTGATCTGTATTATACAGTATCCTTTTACATAAAGCTTTGGGCACTGCCAGCATATTGTATCAACACGCTTTTGCTCTTTGCTGATAGTAACAGCAGTGGTTCCAGACCCATGACTAACTCCAGCAGTTTTGCCAACATCATGCTCTTTTCGTACGTAAATCTCAGATAGGAAAGAAACTGTTCTGTAACACCTGTGCAAACCCAGAGTAACTCCAATGTCACCTATGTTGTTATTCCAGAATCCAACTAGAATATCTAACCACCCACACAACTGGTACTTTGGAGATAAGGACATCTGTCAAAGTAACTAATCATTCACAATGTCTGAACTTTGATTCCTTGACTCCATAGGGTTTTTGACAGCACACACAAGCAGCCTTCTCTCAACTGAGATGGACACGAACCAGTGCTGTAAGGTATCTTAAATACCAGAGCATGATGATATGAAAAACACCACCATTATGCCTAGAGCTAATTCAAAATAGCATCTGCCAGATTCTGACAGTTTCAGGCCTACTGGCTCCGCCACAGGACTAGTCCTAGTGACACATGCTGAAAAACATGGGAGCGTACTGTTTATTCAGTCAGTAGCACTGCAGTTCCTGTTTGCATGACTAATTCCACAACACTTCCCCAGTGTTTGCATTTGTGGACATGCACGGAATTCTTCACGTGGGAATGGACTTGCAAGAAACATTAAATCTTTAAGGATGACAGCTGAAAGCAACTCATTTCAGGAGGAACGGTGAGCTGAGAAACAGACATCCCTGTTTAGGGGAAGTATTTTAGTGACAAAGGTGCACGATTCACCAGGTTTATTAAATACTGGAATCCCTATACTACTTTGCCAAGAACATGGAAAAAACCCTCACTTCCTTCCAAAGAATCCCACTGCAAGCAGGGCTTCTGGAAAAGAAAGGCACTGGTTGTCTAAAGTATACATATATAAACACGCTCCTATACATATAGTAGTTGCACTCAAATTTGAGAAAGCTCAGATTCAGCTACTTTCTTTGACAGGAAGCTGGAAAAGGTAACCACTTTTACTCCAGTACAACGCACTTTGTTATAGCATTCTACCTTTTAAAGCAAGCATGATGTACCCTGTTATTTTATTTAAGACAAATCAGCAATTAGTGAGGTGCTTCAATGATCAAGACTGCTTTCTGCCTTGAATACAACAGCCTGCAGGTTATACAGGAAGCAAAGATCAGTATTCTGCATTTTCAGAAATCTACATGAGAAGAGAGGAAAAATACACATGCATGTAACTGGCTTTTTTCTCCTGAAACCGTATTTGCTTTTTGTATACCGATGTATGTGTATATATATGTGAATGCCTTCATACGTATGTAATACAACACATTACTGCAGGGTCTGGAGAAAGAGTTAAGAATGTGGATAGGGGGGAGGAGGATCTCAAAGTGCTCACTGGAGGTGAAGCTGCAATGAATTAAACATACTGCCAGTGGTGACACACACCTCCTCAGTTAAATCCATCACATACTCCCCTTTCAAAATATATGTAGTTTACCATGTTTAACACTTCCCTGTGTTCCAGGTGAGTGGAGCAGAGCCATACCTCAAGGAACTTCACTCTCCACCACGGAAGTCACTACAGAAGTATAAAATCCCTTGGAGCTCACAGAGAATGCAGGACACAAATTGCGCATGAGCACAGCAAACTAGTGTTTCACAATTTTGGAGGTATTTTCTTACATGGGCAAGACCACTTTCCTGACTATTAGCCTAACAGGTTCAGGTCAGAGAAACATTTAAAGTAAACTTCACAAAATAAAAACAAAACGAATGTGGACACTTAAAAAATCTTAAAACGTGAGATTAGCAGGAGGTCAGAACCAACATCATGTTACTGGAGATGAGGACGTGGCCTCACATAGATCAAGAGCAACCAGGGTAAACTCAGTGGAGTTCAGTGACAGAGCTTGACCAATACATCCAGTCTGAACAAAACCAGCAGCAAGTCCCCTGCTTATCTACGTATGGAATAGTTCACTGTTGTGGTTATAAATATATAAACATAGCTGAAGGAATTCTGCGTCTTGTGTTTCGAAGCACCCTGAATAAGGTTTGACGGGAGCTACTTTTCTTTCCTCAGGGAGGAGTGACATGTAAACACACTGATCCTTTACAAATAGCTCTCTAGAAACATGAAGAAATGGAATCATGTGTCCACATCAGAAGGAGCAAGTGGGTTTAAAATAATTTCCTGCCTATTAGGTTCTGTGAAACACCTCACCAGAACCTCTGCCAAGGCTAATAATAAATAAATAACGCACATAAATAAGTAGATGATTCAGCAATTCTAAATGAACAACATAAAAAAGTGGTCATGGCAGGAAGTATTTTCTGCCTTGAGACACAGTCTTCTCCAGAGGCAGAAAAGAAAAAGCTGGGTGCTTAATTAGCTTGACCTAAAGCATTTCAAGTAAACCGCATTTTCTATGAGAACTAGCGGCTGGACTTCAATGCAAAATGGAGTTTAGCCATTGGTATTTCAAAGCCAACAAGGCTTTACGGCTACTTCAGCAGCTGCTATTCACAGATGAAGAAGGTCAGACGTTATTTTGCAAAAAGATTTCTGCCTGGCTAAGCTGAGAAATTGCTTGAGCTGGCAGCTGAGAAAGGGATTCTCTTCAGGCTGGCCACTGCCTCAAGGAAGTCATGTGTTCTGGTATGACAACTCAAACATGTTGCAAGACTCTTCGAAGTTTTCATCCATATTCAGTTGCCTCCAGAAGGATTTCTGCTTCTTCTGCAATTCTTTACGCACACACCTGGGACACGGTACAGCCTTCACTTTGCACTCAGAATGGAAGACAGCACCACAGCTTTCACACCTGCAAATACAAATCAGTGTCAAAACTGAATGATAAAATAGGACCAGAGCATGCAATGGACTTCACATTGATTGCAGGCAGCAGACATTCATTCAAACAGTTCTGGTAGCTCAAAGAGCGCTATGTTTCAAAAGAGTGGTGTTGTAAAAGACACTGGCTTGCCCACACCTCTGCTGGTGTAAAGCTACTCAGGATCACTAAAATAAGTTGACTTGCACCCAGCTGCATTTGCTAAGAATCTGTCCCAGCACTTCTGCTTCACGGACAGACATTTTTAGAAGGATTAATACTTATCTTCTTATTAACTAGCATTCAGGTCTATCACAGAACAGACATCATTTTTGTTTTACGAAAGACAAGTTTGCTGCTTTGGTTTGTACATGAAGTGTAACAGTATTCATTTCTATTAAGATATACTTGAGCATTTGCAACAGTCAAGATAGGACATTTTTCTCATTGAAGTTCCAGTAGTCATCTGTTCTGGAAAGAGTAAAAGTGGAATTCACTTCAACAGCAGAAGTCATCATTCCGCAAAGTAAAAAAAAGAAACAGAAGTAGGTGATATTTTCTGCTCTCTGTCCTGTGGAAGATCAGACTAGATCAACACTATTATAGCTTCTGGCATTCAAAGATGTGCTACTCTGTTCTCAAATGTAATATTATGACTTCAAATCAAACAACTGCTCAAACAAGATGACTGGATTACTTTTGGGGCACTCTGAGGCAATGGATGTAATGTCACAGCAGATCAAGCCCCATTTCCAGATGGCTGTGGAGCAACGAAACATCTGGTGATCATGGAGTGGGCTACAACTACACAGACAGACATTCTCAGCCTTTCAAGGCAAATAACTGTTTGTAGTGATGAGCAAGTCACTACAGCTTTGTAACCAAATGAAAAAAAAAAAAAGATGAGAGTGTCAGAGGTACAAAGTCTTAGATTCCAGTTGGATAATCAAATGGTGAAAGCAACAAAACATCAAACTTTCAAGCAATTTTTAAACACAAATGAGGGGCGCTGGTCACTGTAGTGATTCTGTGGGAAGTCTTGAAATGCCTCACACTTTTTCGCAACTATTGTAATCAAATTACTATATGAGAATCCAAGTGTCCGTTGTTATAGCTTTAGTGGGGTTTTTTGTTTGGTTGCCATGAGCTGGTTTTGCTGTGGCTTTTTGTGTTGTTTTTTTTTTCTTAGAAATTAGATTCTTTTCTTCAAGACTGCAGAAAATTGAAAACATGAAGAAACAAACCCCAAACACTGAGAAGCCACAAGGCAAATTGTAGTATTCGGTATGCAGTCTGGCAATGGAGAAGTCCATAAGCTAATACCACCTGTTAGCTGTATTAGCTGCATCAGCATCTCACCTGTGACTTTTAAAAAAAATGTTCCTTATCTGGCTACACTTTCAGTTTTATGCATGGGTCCAAACACGGTCTAAATTTTAAGTAACTGCAGAGCTTTGAGAAGGCTATGCAGAGGTTGAGAGAGGCATATTTCTAGCTAACATAAACTGATAAAACTCAAATAACAAGTAAGAACAGGAAGGTTAAAGAGGCTAAGTACAATGCCATATACCTACTACTATGCTCTCTTGCAGTAAAACTTGACTGTCACATTTTCAAGTCCAGCTAGCAAGTGTAAGTCTCGTTTTGAATCAAGAAACTGGCTCACAGAGAGGAATTTATCACTTCTGTGCTCAGAGAGTGTGTGTTATGGCCCTGATCCAGTGAAGCTCATAAACATATGCTTAGGACTTTTATCCCAGTGATTTCCTTGGGATTACTGATCTGCCTACAATTAAGCACGTGTTTATGTGCTTTGCTGGATTGGGGTCTCCATGAACAGATACTCTAACGGATGAGGGAGAGACAGAGAGTACAGCAGTGTCTTTAACACTTTACATCATTCTGAACTGACACTAATGGTGATTTTATCAAGCTAATTCTCCCTCGTTAGTCAGCAATTTACAGTGTCCTGGAAGTTGCTAGAGGGTAATGATTGATGAGGAGTGTAATTTTGTGCTCCCACATTGCCACTCCCTATGCTCGCTCAATATTTCTCCACAGTACGTATGGAGGGGACAAAAATTATCAGAAATTGCTGCTGAAATGGATTGAGCAGGTTAAGAGAGGAGCCAGCACACCTGCTCTCCCCAGTCAAAGGCCATCAGCAGAGAAAACAAAGATTGATGGTATTTAAATTAATATCAATTAATTTTTCAGAAATAAGGTCAGTGGAGAAAACTGACAAACTTCTCTCACATTGCTCAGAACCAAAAGAGAGAGATAAAATGTCTGCACTGTTAGTTATTAGAGCTGGCGCTACAGCTGAAGCTCTGACCAGGACTCCACACTATCAGGCATTAACAGCAAACAGCTAGCCCTGCACCTCACAGTCCACTACACAGGCAGCCATCATGACCATTGTCGGTCCATGTGGTGCCCCCACCCCTGACTAAAGACCTATTTTCCGCTTTCTCTGGTGAAGGCTGATGTACACCGAGCCCCAGCCGCAGGGTGCAGATGACAACAAAACAGCAGCCTGGAAGAACGGTGCTCTGAAGCGGAGAACAAAGCTGTCTCTTGCTCTCCACAGCAACAGGTAGAGAGGATACCTGGCTCAGCCTTCACTGCATGCTTGTATCCCCTCACAGCTAAAGAAACTCAGTCACTGGGGTGGGGGAGAACGCTGATCTTGCTCTGGCTTTGGGCAAATGGTAAATTACCCCCCTCAAAGTGATGGAGCTATGCTATGCCAAGCCATCTACAGCTTTCCTTTTCATCGTATCAAATACAGTCAGTCTTAACTGACCATGGAAATGTCAACTGGTTTACAATTACTAATGTCACTGGGAGAAATTTTCCAGTGATACCAAAAAACCCCACCAAAATTATATTCCTTCTTAGAATATTACATATATATTGCTGCTTCTTTAATCCTGACACCTAATCTTATCTCCACATGAGTTTCACAGCAATAGCTGTGTTGTTTTCAAGCCTCAGTATTCTAAACTGCTGTTACTTCTCTGGAAAAAAAAATACATTTTGTAGTCCATAAAAGGCTCGCGTAATAGTGTACTACACTTAGTTATCTTTCCCTTAACACTTGCTGTTGTCATAGGTAAACCACAGTTCAAGTACTACTTCTGAATCTTGATGACTTCTTTGGCTAAAGGCCAGAAAGTCCCTGCATCTTTTGTGAGACTTCTATACACCACTGATAATAAGCTGATAAGCCCATAGCCATTCAGGCCTGTCATGTTTTCTTCTTTAATGAATGATACTACAATACTGCACATTAACAGCATCTTGCTATTTTTCAAACACTATTTGAAGAATTGGTGAACATTGCATGGTGTTTTCGTACAGACTTTCAGTCTCCTAAGAAGGCATCTGAAACAGCTTCCTCTCTCTCTCAGCATTTTCTCTCTTTTGATCACTTTCCTGACCAACTCAATTTCTGTTGAGACTACAGGGGGTGTTTTATGTTTTAAGGATGCTTTACTTGTTTGAACACCAGAGTAACAAAACTGCAGAGAATTATTCAACCCTCTAAATAATTTCCATTGCACTGAAAAGTGTAAAAGAAAGAGGTCAAAGCTCTCCACAGCCACACAAGCATTATAATGCTCTTATTATTATCATTACTAGTTACAAAAGAGAAGCCTTTCTACCCTGAAAGCATAAAATCATTCCTTGTATGCTAAGGAAATGCCAATGTTAGTATTTCCCATTAAATCTGGGCATTTGAAACATTTACATGTCAATATTTGGTAAATTGTAAATTCTGGCAAATTGTTTTCATGCTTCCCACATGTATTTCACAGGCTTATGACTCAAGTAATTCTAGATTCTGCACAACCAATTGATTATACTTGTATTTCCCCTCTGTACTGAAACACCATTTAGGTGCCCAAAGAGGAGGCCTCAAAGACCTGCCAACTGAAGCAGACAAAATAAACCAAGGATGATCAACTGGTGGCCCAGGATGTCACCCAAAACATAGTTTTATTTGTCTCCTAGGAACCTTACAGGTTGACAGACTGACCAGTGTGACCATGTTGGGATGAAGTTGCTGGGACTAGCAAGGTTTATTCGGACAGCTTCACTACCATGCACAGGGGCTGTACCTGACTGGCTTCCAAACGCCACGTGGGGAATCAAAGCAGCTCATGGTTACACTGTTTGTCCCTGAAATGAACAAACGGTCAGTGACAGATATACCACCATTCCCACCTCACAAATGGGAAACAAGAGCAGAGCCGACTTGCTCAGAGTCAGCCAGGATCTCAGAGAAGAGCAAAGAGCTCCCTTGTCTCACTGCAGTGCTGTATCACCATCCTTTCTCTTGTAATTTTCTACATTAACTTTCATTTTTTCATTTAAAAAGCCACTTCCTCTGTGCCAGACCTTGCACACATTTGCTCATGTGAGTAACCCCTTGAAAGGAATTTCAGTAGCGATTTGATTTAGGGCTAAATGCTTCATTGACTAGAACTCTTCAGGTATTTTTCTTTCCCTCCATGCAGAATAAAAACAAGATAAAACAGAGTTGTTCATTATGTTTTCTTTAGACGATGCTATATGTTCATCAAGCATCCAAAATACTACGCCACCTACAACCTGACTGTTAAAAAACCCTAAAGACCAAACCACAATAGCTGAGGTAACCCTTGCCTAGGGATTCCAGCGTGATCACCATCCCACGCTATGCACATGTGCCTGTCTGCAAGTATTTCTGAATTGTTCAGCTGTGCGTGTTACAGACACACCCTTCAAAACTCTCAGAGACTTCAGCAGAATACAAAGAAAAACGGACTAGCCTGTGTTCACTTACAACACAAAAAAAGCCCCAAAGGCAATCAATGCCTGACACACGCACACAGAGCAATGTTATTACAGTTGCCTAGGAACCAACGGAAGGAGCTTGCCTAGGGAGGGACGCCCATGTAGCAAATGAATGGAAGAAAGTTGGCACTAATATGACATTGATTTGT